TCATACTGCCCTCTGGCAACCATATACATTTCTCAAATGGTATTATACGAATATTCTTTTTACCCACATCAACAATATCGTCCGAACTCATGTGACGTTTCGATGAATTACAACAATTGTAGATTTCCAATTGATCGGTGGCGGCGGCAGAGAGTGGTGCAGTTCTTGTGCCCAATTTAAATGCTGCCACAAGCAGCGATTTAGCACACATATCCACAGCAATAATGTCGGGAACTATTTCAGGATTACTATAAGTGGAACGTAATACACCAAGACCACTGGCTACCAACAAGCCAATGGGACCATTAAAGTTGTCTATATATCCTGGTATTGGTTCTTCGTAGCTGCTAATCACTATGGACAGAAAGAAAAATTATATAATTGATAGAAAACTGAGTCAGAAGAGTGTGGCAAGGTGGTGGCGGCAAAAGGACGAAAAAGACAATTTTAAACTTTGTATGGCTGAAGATCCAGTAATTTGAAGAAGTCTACATGAATTGAGATTCGAAACTAATGTGGATTTTTGTAGTGTTTGGTGGACGGCTGGGAGAGCCACAATTCAATTTTATCTGACCCAATTCGAGAAATCCAAAGAAATAAAAGAAATTAAATACTGAGTCAGAAGAAGACTGCGGTAAGGCGGTGACGGTAAGATATTTTACGGGGAAGCTTCTATTCCAGCATTGCAGCTGCAGATATAAGTTGGGAGGCTATGGAGTCCCTAACCCTAGAAGATGAATCAGACAGAGACTCTGTACCGACCGAACTTAAGTTGGAGGATACAGAAATTTGAAAGAAGTTTCAATGAATTGAGTCTCGAACTAATGTGGATTTGTTGTATTGTTTGTTGGACGACTGGGAGAGCCACAATTCAATTTTAATAGGCTTCATATTTTAATATACTGTCCGGAGAATAGAGATATTCTGGAAAACAAATTGTGAATGTGCCGCCCTGGAAGATGAAGATGACTGTCAAAAGTGCGACTGACGTGGACGTGGTACGACGCTGTAGAAGAGACTATAAAGCCGCATTCGACAGTCCTATACATTCAGAGGCGAAACTAATACGTCTATGCACAAGGGCAGCAGTTAAAGTCAGAAAGGACCTCTTGGATCCCTTCAATAACGAATGAGGATTCAGACAAGGTGACAGTTTGTCGTGTGACCTCTTTAACAACCCGCTAAAAAAGGTCATACGAGAAGTAAAAAATTGAGAGAAAAATTCTTCGGAAGATGATATGCTGCAAGGGGTAAATATCGTCGTCGAATGAACCATTAGTTGTACCATCTATTCTAGTCAGACGGATCAAGTTGCAGCTAATATGTTGGCTAGGTCATGTAGTCTATGAATCTGAAGCTGTACAAAACGAAACGCTCTACAAGAAACTGATATTACCAGTACTGCTCTATGAATGGATGAGGATGTCCTAGCTAAAAAGGCATATAAAAGCGAGCCATGTGATGGTTTACGCAGAAGGTGAAGGCCACGAATTCGATGGAAAGATCAAGATAACATCTCGGAACAGGATCATTCAAATTGGAAGAGCTGTGCACAAGATCGACATGTTTGTAAATATTTTTCAAGTTCGGCTTATGGAACAAATGTTCTGTCACAAACCATCTAAGTAAGTATGTATATGTTATGCAAAAATATAAACGTACCTATGGAAGGTCTCACAATAATAATCGGCAATGTATGGCGATTATCATCAACAATGTGTTCGGCCAAACTTTTCGTATAGGTATAACTATTCGGATGATTCGGTGCCAATTTGGGGAACAAAATATTTAACGATTCCTCATCATATGTTTCGGCTGCTTTAATCATAGTTTGCCAATCACCATAGGCAGGATATATCTAAAGAAAATTAGAAGGCATAATTCTATTTTACTGGTAAGTGGCTACAAATCGACTATTTCAACCTTTTCTTCCAACTCCTTATAATCGGGATGGGCATAGGTCGTTGAGACATGTACAAATGCCTTAAGTTTCCTTAAGCCCTGGGCAAACTTAATCATTTCATATGTGCCGCGGGTATTCAGTAATAATGAAGTCCTTAGAGCTTCATCAAAACGTACTGTGGCGGCCACGTGGAATATTATTGAAACATTACGCAATTTCTCCAAATCCTGCGATGAAATAGCCAAACCCTTTTCACAACAATCTCCGGCTATGGCTATGATTTTATGAAGCGAATCAGGTTGTTCTAGGGGAAGACGACGAAATACAGGGGTTTTCAGCAGCTCCTTTAAACGTTCTTCGGGAGTTTTATTTTTCTTGGTGCGAATTAGAACATAAAGTTTTGAGATGTTCGGCAAGGATCGTAGGATTTTTTCAACCAAGACTTTTCCAATGAAACCTAAAAGGGATGCAAGGATCAGAAAACAAATCAATTATGATGGGTCCAGTCATGATTTCTAAAAAAATTTCTTTTTCATCTCACCTGTTCCGCCGGTCACGAAAATTTCCTGATCCTTATAAAAATCCACTATAGACATTTTGGCAGAAAATTAAAAAAAATTCTCAAATCGTTTATCAATGCTTCAATGCCGATTATCGAATGGCCATGATTCTTTCTAATTACGAATAGAAATCAATTTTGAAAGACACACAGCATTAGCATATCTTAGGAAAAAGTTCACAAAAATACGTGCGTTTTGAATGCAAATGAGACAGAAACCAAATAAAATAATCAATTATTTTTGTTTTCGATTTTTTTAATTTTTGATGTCAAGGTTCAAAATATTTGAGGAGACAGCAAACATCGATGAAATTGCATTTCTTGGCTGTGAATAATGGCAAGCGTTCTGACTTGCTTCGGAAAATGTTAATTGGCCTTTGAGCGTGTGCCATGTCCACAATATCGAAATTCAGAATACTGATAGTGGTGGCATTACTGGAAGTGCAGCAGATTTCTTTTTTAAACCCAGACAATCAATCAGTGCAAATAGAATGGATGCCAATACGAGTATTCCCAGGATCACTTTTAAAAAATCCACGCCTTTGTATGTCAGTCCGTTAAAAACTACTTTTAAAAAATCCACGCCTTTGTATGTCAGTCCCTTAAAAACTACTTTTAAAAAATCCACGCCTTTGTATGTCAGTCCGTTAAAAACTACTTTTAAAAAATCCACGCCTTTGTATGTCAGTCCGTTAAAAACTACTTTTAAAAAATCCCCGCCTTTGTATGTCAGTCCCTTAAAAACTACTTTTAAAAAATCCACGCCTTTGTATGTCAGTCCGTTAAAAACTACTTTTAAAAAATCCACGCCTTTGTATGTCAGTCCGTTAAAAACTACTTTTAAAAAATCCACGCCTTTGTATGTCAGTCCCTTAAAAACTACTTTTAAAAAATCCACGCCTTTGTATGTCAGTCCCTTAAAAACTACTTTTAAAAATTCCACGCCCTTGTATGTCAGTCCCTTAAAAACTACTTTTAAAAAATCCACGCCTTTGTATGTCAGTCCCTTAAAAACTAGTTTTAAAAAATCCTCGCCTTTACATGTCAGTCTCTTAAAAACTACTTTTAAACAATCCACGCCTTTGCATGTCAGTCTCTTAAAAACTACTTTTAAAAAATCCACGCCTTTAAATAGTCAATCCCTTAAAAACTACTTTTAAAAAATCAACGCCTTTGTATGTCAGTCCCTTAAAAACTACTTTTAAAAAATCCACGCCTTTAAATAGTCAACCCCTTAAAAACTACTTTTAAAAAATCCAATACCCCAACCCCAATACCACATATTATATTAAAAGTATATTTCGGAATCCCCACAGCTATTGTAAATGTATTCATTGCATTTATATTTTTGTAGCATACGTTTAGGAGTTAATTAGAATGTTATTTGAATATTGTAATCAAGACCTATAAATAAGGTCACCCAGGTAGCAATCGAAATCAGTAAACAGCTATAAATAAGGTCGCCCAAGGAGACCAGCTGGATATCAGCTGCCACTCAAGTTTGCTGTCAAAATACATTGTTGTGAATTGACTTCGATTATTTTGACATTAGACATGAAAAAACAGCTGTTTCCGATTTCTATTGCTACCTCTGTGACCTTATCATGGCCTATAAATAAGGTCACCAAGGGAGACCAGCTGATTATCGATACCTCTCAAGTTTGCTGTCAAAATGCATTATTGTGAATTGACTTCCCTTATGAAAACGTAAACAAAGTCGAAATTTTTGACATTAGACTTGAGAAAAAACAGCTGTTTTCCGATTTCGATTGCTATCTTGGTGACCTTATTAATAGATCTTGATATTTACATATATTTGTTCTTAAGTAAGGTCTATAAATAAGGTCATCCAGGGTGACCAGCTGGACATCGGCTGCCTCTCAAGTTTGCTGTCAAAATGCATTATTGTGAATTGGCTTCCATTATGAAAACGTAAACAAAGTCGAAATTTTTGACACTAGACTTGAAAAAAAACAGCTGTTTTCCGATTTCGATTGCTATCTTGGTGACCATGGCCTATAAATAAGGTCACCAAGGGAGACCAGCTGATTATCGATACCTCTCAAGTTTGCTGTCAAAATGTATTATTGTGAATTGACTTCCATTATGAAAACGTAAACAAAGTCGAAATTTTTGACATTAGACTTGAGAAAAAACAGCTGTTTTCCGATTTCAATTGCTATCTTGGTGACCTTATTAATAGATCTTGTTGGTGACCTTATTAATAGATCTTGGATTGCTACCTTGGTGACCTTATTTATAGATCTTGATATTTAGATATATTTGTTCTCAGGTTCTTCATAATCGGAAGATCATCCAAACCAAAAATATTTTTCTTGAAAATCCGTTTCCTTTCGGCTATTTATAATTGGGCCGGTTATTTTTTTAAATTCATTCTTTTCCATTTTTCTTTAAAAGTCTGAACATTTTTGTTTACGCGAAATTAAAAAACTGGCACTCAATCAAAATTGCATCACATATTCCGCCAGGGGGAATGTTAATTATTTATTTACAACAACAAAAATCAAATACCACCCATTATTGCACATTAAAATAGACACACAGTACTCGATAAATATAACGCAATAGATAATAGAGACCAACATATTTTAAAATATTATGCAGAATCATATAAATACGCAGCCGCAAACGTGCTTGTGGCGATGCAACGGGTCGCTCCTTCAACAGAAATTCTTTGGCTCCCTTAATACCGTTCGCAAGGAACACCTCCTTATCGGCCTCAACGTAATGCAGAAAACCAAATCTTTTTCTAAAACAATCAGAAAATAAATAGGTAATGTTTTTTTTAAGTAAATATGCTGCTGCTTTTTACTTGTCTTTATCCTCTACTAGATCCTCCAAGGCCATTAGACGGGTGTTAATAAAATTCCATTCGGTGTTAATAAATAATTCCAATGAATTTTTTGTACAGTGTATGCGTCTTTGTAGTTTCATCAAACTGCAAATATTAAGGAGAAATAAATAATTTTTCGAAAATTATCCGCAAATCGAGAAACTTAGCAATTGAAAATTTACTCTATAATGACTTACAATGGAGGATATTTGGTGAATCGCAGCAAAAAGTCAAACAGAAGAGCCGGTAATATTTGTACACAGAATACCTGAAAAACAAGATGTAAAATTAAAATAAAAGTAAAGAATTGGATGATCAGCTGATCGAACTTCAGACTCACCCTAGTATAGTGCCATACATCACATCTGGTTATATTGCCCTGCGGCACCCAAATACATTTTTCAAATGGATTTTCCAAAATGACCTTTTTGCCCATTTCAATCAATTCACCTGTACTAATTGAATTCATTTTCGAATTAGAACAATGGAAAACTTCAACATCTCCGGCAATCTGATCAGATGGTGTGGGTTGCGTCACGACTTTATAGGCAGTTAACAACAGTGTTCGTACACAAAAATCAACTGGTATAAAATCGGGAATACAATCGGGATTGCCATTATTTGTACGCATAATACCAACGCCACAGGCGACCAGCATACCAATGGGACCATTGAAATTATCGACCCAACCGGGAAAGGGTTCCTCAATGGAGGAAATAACTGAAAGGGAATTTTTGGAAAAGAGATTAGGGAAGGACTGTAATGGTTTATATGTTTATAACCTACCTATAGATGGTCGGAAAATGGCCACAGGCAACTTTGTTCTATATTCGCGTATGATTTGTTCCGCCAAACTTTTGGTAAAGGTATAGGTATTCGGGTGACTTTCAGCGTATTTGGGAAATAGTGTATCCAGAATCTCGTCATCGTAAGTTTCGGCCAATTTTATAGTGGTTCGCCAATCTGCATAGGGTGGGTAGACCTTAAAAAATTGAAAATAAAATTTTATTAAAAACCTTTGAAGGCGTGGTTTTTTTAAGTAGTTTTTTAGGACCACCCTAAGGCGATGATTTTGTAAAAAATATTTTTTAAGGAACAATCCAAAGAGGTGGATTTTTTAAAAGTTGGGACGTCTTAGTACTCAGTTTACACTTGGGGTGCTATTATCTATTGCGTTATATTTATCGAGTACACAGGCTTTAGCTTCATAGATGTACTAGAACCCCCGACAGGTTTCTCCTTCTTTGAAGGGACTACCGTGGTGGTCTTAGTACTGGGTCGGGGGATCCTATCAATCAAGAAGTCCCTCTCAATATAGTTTGGATAGTTTCTGGAGAACTTCCAGATAAATTTGAGGTTCCTCTTGATTAAAAGGAACACCTTTCCCGTGATGGAGTCGCTGTCCCGTCCGACGTATCGGTTGCAGTAGTTTACTGCTCTCTGGTACATCTTCTTGGCAGCGATCTCCTTGGCATCGACTTGCCTAGCAGTTACTGGTACTGATGAACCATCCATCAGTTCCAGTATTAAAATTCGACTCCATAGAAAGTGTCCTGACTGCAAACCGTAGAACGCTGATAGGCGCGAAGTCGCATGACACCCCAGCGTTAGGGGGCCACATTAAAGAGGTAGTGACCCAGACCTTTTGAGATGGTTGTATAGGGGCGCCATTCTTGCCTCGTCGGCCCAGGGATCATAGGCACTCGTTCATTTCCTCCGAGACTCTCCCCTGAGCCCGTAAATTGTCCGCGACTGTTTATTTGTTATTCACAGCCTACCATTCAGCTCTGCTCCCCGAAGGCGGAGAACGCCTATCCAAATGCGTGGATTTTTTAAAGGTAGTTTTTAAGGGCCTATCCAAAGGCGTGGATTTTTTGAAAGTAGTTTTTAAGGGCCTATCCAAAGGCGTGGATTTTTAAAAAGTAAAGTTAAAAACTAAGGGCGTATCCAAAGGCGTGGATTTTTTAAAAGTAGTTTTTAAGGGCCTATCCAAAGGCTTGGATTTTTTAAAAGTAGTTTTTAAGGGCGTATCCAAAGGCGTGGATTTTTTAAAAGTAGTTTTTAAGGGCCTATCCAAAGGCGTGGATTTTTTAAAAGTAGTTTTTAAGGGCCTATCCAAAAGCCTCGATTTTTAAGGTAGTTTTTAAGGGCCTATCCAAAGGCGTGGATTTTTTAAAAGTAGTTTTTAAGGGCCTATCCAAAAGCCTCGATTTTTAAGGTAGTTTTTAAGGGCCTATCCAAAGGCTTCGATTTTTAAGGTAGTTTTTAAGGACCCATCCAAAGGCGTGGATTTTTTAAAAGTAGTTTTTAAGGGCCTATCCAAAGGCTTCGATTTTTAAGGTAGTTTTTAAGGACCCATCCAAAGGCGTGGATTTTTTAAAAGTAGTTTTTAAGGGCCTATCCAATGGCTTCGATTTTTAAGGTAGTTTTTAAGGACCCATCCAAAGGCGTGGTTTTTTTAAAGGTAGTTTTTAAGGGCCTATCCAAAGGCGTGGATTTTTTAAAAGTAGTTTTTAAGGGCCTATCCAAAAGCCTCGATTTTTTTTAATGTAGTTTTTAAGGGCCTATCCAAAGGCTTCGATTTTTTAAGGTAGTTTTTAAGGACCCATCCAAAGGCGTGGATTTTTTAAAAGTAGTTTTAAAGGGCCTATGCAAAGGCCTGGATTTTTAAATGTAGTTTTTAAGGACCTATCCAAAGGTTTCTTTAAAAATATTTTTTTGATGTACATAAAATAAGCGTGGATTTCTAAAAATATTTTTTCCGCAACTTACCATCTCCTCAATAGTTATACGATCCGGATGGGCGTATGTTGTCGAAACATGTATGAATGCCTTTAAATTCTTCATGCGTTCCGCAATTTTCACCAGTTCATAAGTGCTTCGTGTATTTAGAAATATGGAATTTTTTAGAGTATCATCGAAGCGGACACATGCCGCTACATGAAATATTAAATTGACATTTTGTAGCTTTTGTAAATTTTCCGCTGAAATTCCCAGTCCCAATTCATTACAATCACCCTCAATGGGAATGATACGTTTAAATGCATCGGGTTGCTCTTCACGTGCCCGACGAAATAGCGTCGAGTTCAAAGTTTCTTCCAGACGTTCGGCTGCACTTTTACCCTTTTTACTGCGTATCAGAACATACATTTTTCCAAAGTTTGGCAGCGAACGCAGAAGTTTTTCGATCAGTGCCTTTCCAATGAAACCTGCAGGGGAACATGAACATTTATTAATTAGTCGGATACACTGAACGTTATTATCACATATAAGCTTTATTGCAGAACCTAGAAAAATTTGCTATTTTTGAAATTTTTGAAAAATCCGAGGCATCCGATCATTCATTGCGACATGTCTTGACATGTCTTCATTGCGTACTGTGACCAACTATACGGTTTGGTATATTATTTTCAGGATGATAACAATCTTTTGACCTAACCGAATCTTATGTCCATTTTTCCCATGACGATTAACATCCTTATTTGTATATCAGAAGAATTTTTTCTGATAGTTTATTCGAAGCGAATATGTGATTTGAAATATACGAACAGTTTGTTAATTTAAATAAATAAGACTTTATAGGTTATCAATAGTTTTTAATATTTTTTATACGAAAATAAATAAATTTAAACAAATTCACTTCAACCTCCTCTCTGAATGCTTTCATATATCTTTTTTATAAATTCCTTTTATATATTTAATTTTTTTTTTACCTGAGCCACCCGTAATAAAAATTTCTTGATTTCGATAAAAATTTTCAATTGACATTTTGTTTTTTTTTTAATACAACACTTCGAACGAACCGTGTCTGTCAAAGCGTTACAAAAGTACTAATGGCAGAGACTAAAATTATTTTGGGTGAAAGACCGATACGGCTGCATGGCGGCACATGGTTAAATTTCAACATGTCATTGCTTAATTATTTACATATAAATACATCAAAGAATGGAAAATTAATACAGGAAAGTATACACTATGCTAATCAATATTAACATTGTATTTAATTGAAATTGAATTTTGTTTTTAATTTATACCGAAAGCTGTACTATTACATACGATAATACAATAAAAAATAAATGCAAAAAAGAACACGACAAAATATTGTAATATTTATTATTTAATTTAAATACGATTAAATAATATCCGTTTTACTTAGAGGAATATTTTAAAAACACATATGCTTCGATATGGTTTTGAGTTGCTTACTTAGGCCATAGTAGCATCTGTTGGCCAACACTATTCTATAGTTTTGTTTATGGCGGTACCAAGGTATATAAAATCTTTGACTACCTCGAAGCTGTCCACAGTTGGTTCGAGTCTACTGAATGTCTTGCGCGTTGATACCATCAGCTTGGTTTTCTCGCAATTTAGAAATCCACCCAATTTGGCAGAATCCTTCTCAATTCGTTCAAAAGAGGGCTGTTACCGCTCGCAAAGTTCGATTCTTTATGTCGATGTCGTCGGTGTAGCATATGCTGGTCCGAGTCTACTGAATGTCTTGCGCGTTGATATCATCAGATTGGTTTTCTCGCAATTTACTGCCCACCCACTTTGGCAGAATCCTTCTCAATTCGTTCAAAAGGGGGCTGTTACCGCTCGCAATGTTCGATCCTTTATGTCGATGTCGTCGGTGTAGCATATGCTGTTTGGTGTACAGAGTGTCATTTCTGTTCACATTTGCATATCATATGACCTTTTCCAGCAGGATGTTAAAAAGGCCACACGACAAACTGTCACCTGATCTGAATCCTCGATCGGTATTAAAGGGCTCGGAGAGTTCCTTTCCGACTTTAACTGCTGGCATTGTACCAGTTAAAGTATTAATTTTGCAGGAATTCCAAACGCTGATATGGCTTTAAACACCTCTGAACGGATAGGGCTGTCGAATGCGGCTTTAGAGTCGACCAATAGATGGAATGTGTCAATGTGTTCTTCGTGGATCTGGCGCAGAGTGAAAATCTGGTCAATGGTGGATTTGCCAGGCCTAAAGAGACATTGGTATGGTCCCATAATGTCATTGACCATTGGCTTCAATCGTACACACATCACGCTGGATAGCACTTTATATGCGATGGGAAGGAGACTAATACCTCTATAGTTGACACATATCGTCTTGTCTCCTTTTTTGTGCACGGGACATGGGATACTGAGGTTCCAATCATTGAGCATGCATTCCTCTAGTCAAATTGTACAAATCAGCTGGTGAATACTCCTGACTAGCATCGGACCAGCGGTCTTGAATAGTTTGGCTGGTGATACATCGGCACCAGCTGCTTTATTGTTCTTCAGCCGATTAATTGCTACTCTGACCTTCATTCTGACTCCTTCATTTGGACCCCAGGTGACATTGCGGGGAGGGCAGTGTCCACAATTGAGATGAAAGAGGGACCAAGATAAGCCTGGGCTTCGCCATGTTAAACCTAATCAGAGCCGTTGCTTGGTATTTATCATACCCTACGCCACAATTTACTTAAAATCGGACGAATATATATATATATATATATAGGAGGTATATTTAAAAAAAAATCCACGCCTATTTGGCTGATTGTCGCCCTTAGAAAAAGAAAGCATAAAAAATCCTTTCAAACTATTAACAACTTGAATTTAAGAATTTCTTCTAACCTTCTTATTTGAATTCTTTATTATCAATATCACAAACTGGCTTCCGAATATTTTGAATATATTTTTGTTGATGAAGAGGATACCTGGAAGTTGATGTTTTGGACCGTGCTTTGTTTATTTATTTGTTTATTTTGTCTCCATCTCTGTGACAATTCGTCCCTTTTTCTTCGTCAGCTTCCAAGCATTTACGCGATAAAACTTCGAGGATATGGATAGCCAAAAATCCACGTCTTACATCCACGAACAGTCCATAAACTTTATTTTTATACCGTCTGTTTAACTATGCAGTTAAGCCTACTTCCTCTCTTCCAATTATTTAAGGACGCAGCCCAATCTTCCTACATTTGGATAGGCAGGAGCCAGAACCAGGAAAACATTGTACAATTTTGCATTTCAGCTCCTACAACAATAACAACTCGATGTTACAGCTAATATTAAAAACAATTCCTTACCTTTTATTTCGTCCTGTAAATAGATTTATTCTACCATTATTTGATATCGCATATAAACTTTAGATTAAATATTTATAACATATTGCGGCAGTTTTTCTCATTCAAATGACAGCCGTTTAAATGTTTACACAAATTCCCGCACACTACTTCACAAAGTCTTCAAATCATATCTGCCGCCGTTATTGCTATGGTGACAATTCACAATGATGTAAACATTTAAACAACGTCGCCGTTGTTAATTTGAAAGGTATTCACAATAATCAACAGTTTTAGGATTGCCTAGAATTCTTTATTTTCTTTGTCGAAATTTAAATTTAAAAAAATCCACGCCTATCTATAGTTCCTTTAAACTTAAATTTAAAAAAATCCACGCCTATCTATAGTCCCTTTAAAATTAAATTTAAAAAATCCAACACTATCTATAGTCCCTTTAAACTTAAATTTTAAAACAAATCCACACCTATCTATAGTCCCTTTAAAATTAAATTTAAAAAAATCCAAGCCTATCTAGTCCCTTTAAACTTACATTAAAAAAATCCAAGCTTATCTATATTCCCTTTAAAATTAAATTTAAAAAAATCCACGCCTATCTAGTCCCTTTAAACTTAAATTAAAAAAATCTAAGCATATCTATAGTCCCTTTAAACATACATTTAAACAATCCACCACTATCTATAGTCCCTTTAAAATAAAATTTAAAAAAAAATCCACGCCTATCTATTGTTGATCTCTCAAAAAAAATAATTTTAAAACTCCCCGAGTTTTGTTGGTCTTAAAATACAAATATTTTAAAATCCACACCTATATGTAGTCCTTTCAATTGTTTAAAAGTATCACCCTTATTTATAGTACCTCTAAAATTTCGTTTTAAAAATCCACTGCAATGTTCTCAAAAATTCTTCCTTTAGTATCGACGTTTTATAGTATTACAGCCAAGTCACAACAAAAGATTATAACGGTTTACGTATATTTAAACACGAACAAACAAGTCACACGCACTAATGATTCTGACCTAAAAACCCCCCAAAAAATACCGAAAACCTGACAATAGAAAGAATTTTAATTATTTTTTAAAGTTGTTTTTTTTATTGACAAATTATTACAATTTCATTGATGTTTTTTCATTTCTTTTTTTCGCATCGCGCTTTTGTTCTCATTGTGTTATTTCTTATAGAGATGGATGTTGTGGCCTTTTCAAATCTTTTCTTTTTCAACACGATATTTGTTTTTCGATATATAGGTTTTGTGATACTTGGATTTATAGAGATCGTGTGTAGTTGTTGTTGTTTTTAGTGTATCTTTTCTTCTTCATCTGTATCTTCATTTTCTTCTTCGACACCATATACATTCATTCAATCATTCAGCTTTAAGGTATAATAATAGTTTGTAGGTAGTAAATAATTATTAGTTGTAATTTGTTGTTTGCAAATGTTTTTTTATTTCTGAAAACACTCTTCTTCTTCTTTATACGGGGGTTTAGAATTTTGGCATATTTTCTTTCTTTCTTGTTGTTGTTTGTTTTTTAATAAATAAATGTGTGCGATTTGGTAGATTATGTTCCCTTAGAAAAAGATAAGAGTGCTCAATTGTTGTTATTTTTTATTAAACAAAAGGACAATAGTACAACTATTTCAATCCTTTGCAATATAATTTATTGAAAAAAAAATCTTTAAAAAAAAGTTGATAAATTTTCATTTATCGAAAATTTGAAGTCTTTTTGTTGTTGTTCTTGGGGGTTATGATTTTTTTAAATAAAAAAAAATTCTTTGCAAAAAAAAATCTGTGATTATGGTTTTTCCGGGGGAGGGTGATTGGGAATGTTTTTTGATATTTCCTTGTTCTCTTAAATATGTCTAACAAGGTCTATCATCAAATTGTATTCCCTTGGTACCATAGGCTAGGAGGTTATAAAAATGTGTTCTTCTCAAAGCTCTCTGTGGTGTACCAAGGATATAAAGGAAAAGGAGATAAGACAGCTCTTCTCAAAAAGTTAATGAATTTGTGAAAGTGAATGTGGAATGGTGGGTATTATGGTGAAAATGGTGATGGTTGGTGATTTTTTTAAGGAAAAAGACATGTTTGTTTTTAGGGTTTTTTTCATCTTTGTTTTTTATATAATTATATAATAATAATAATTAAGAAATAATAATACATTTGCGAGTTGTTTTCAAAAAGAAATTAAAATAAAATTAAAAAAATAATAAAAATTATTATATTTTGCAAATTAATTATTTTTGTTGTTGTTTTTTGGGATGTTCTTGTAAATGTATGTTTTTTGTTGCTCTTGTGTGTAATAGTTTTAGGTGTGTGTGGAACGTATGGTTTTCTTTAAAAAAATGATTTTTTTGGAATTATTTCTTCTTCAAACACTGGACCAAAGAGAATTTTCATTAAAAATTATGAAAATTTCTTTAGTAGAGCATTCTCTTCTAGTTGTTTGTTGTTGTATATAAAAACCTCCTCTTTTTCCTCTTGTTGTTGTTGTTAGATCTTAACTTCTCCTTATAATTACTACGACTAATACGGCAGCTACTAAAAGGGTTTCTACGCAGTTGTTGTTGTTGTTGTTGTTAACGACGACGACACACACCACAGCAGCATCATCATCAACAGCCACCATACAACTGATGATGCAGTTGACGAGGCAGCAGTGGTGTATATTTTTGGTTGTAGGAAGAAACCGCTTAGAAGCACTTTCTGTGCACAATGGATGGGCCGGATTCGTCGTATTCCTGCTTGGAGATCCACATCTGTTGGAAGGTGGACAAGGAAGCCAAGATGGAACCACCGATCCAGACGGAGTATTTGCGTTCTGGGGGAGCAATGATCTTGATCTTCATGGTGGATGGAGCCAAGGCGGTGATTTCCTTTTGCATACGATCGGCAATACCAGGGTACATGGTGGTGCCACCAGACAACACAGTGTTGGCGTACAAGTCCTTACGGATATCAACATCGCACTTCATGATGGAGTTGTAGGTGGTTTCGTGGATACCGCAGGCTTCCATACCCAAGAAGGAAGGTTGGAACAAGGCTTCGGGGCAGCGGAAACGTTCATTGCCAATGGTGATCACTTGACCATCGGGCAATTCGTAGCTCTTCTCCAAGCTGGAGCTGGAGGCGGCGGTGGCCATTTCTTGTTCAAAGTCCAAGGCGACATAGCACAATTTCTCCTTGATGTCACGAACGATTTCACGTTCAGCGGTGGTGGTGAATGAGTAACCACGTTCAGTCAAGATCTTCATCAAGTAGTCGGTCAAATCGCGACCAGCCAAATCCAAACGCAAGATAGCGTGAGGCAAGGCATAACCTTCATAGATTGGTACGGTGTGAGAGACACCATCACCAGAATCCAAGACAATACCAGTGGTACGACCGGAGGCGTACAATGACAATACAGCCTGAATGGCAACATACATAGCGGGTGTGTTGAAGGTTTCAAACATGATTTGTGTCATCTTTTCGCGATTAGCTTTGGGATTCAAGGGAGCTTCAGTCAACAAGACGGGATGTTCTTCGGGGGCGACACGCAATTCATTGTAGAAGGTGTGATGCCAGATCTTTTCCATATCGTCCCAGTTGGTGACAATACCGTGTTCAATGGGGTATTTCAATGTGAGGATACCACGTTTGCTTTGGGCTTCATCACCGACATACGAGTCCTTTTGTCCCATACCAACCATGACACCTTGATGACGGGGGCGACCGACAATTGAGGGGAAGACAGCACGGGGTGCATCATCACCGGCGAAACCGGCTTTGCACATACCGGAACCGTTATCAACAACTAATGCAGCAACTTCTTCGTCACACATTTTGTTTGCTGCAAAGGAAACAAATTAAAAAGATGGGAAATTAGTATGGAATTCTGAAATTTGTTTTGAATTTAAAAAAAAATTGGCAAGAATTTTTATGAAAAAATAGCTCAAGAATTTTTATAAAAAAAAATTGTGGCAGTTTTTTGTTTGCAAAATTTCATCCGTTTCTCAAGTACATTATTTTCTTCTGATTTTGTTTTAAAACACAGCTAACCTTTTTTTGTGCTCCGTTAATTTATAGTAATTAAATATTGAGTTACTAATTTTAGTACTAAAAATTTAATTTTTTTGATTTATAATTTTAATTTGCAAATGAAAAAATAATGACTTGTCACATTATGCCATGACAGCAGCCAATGCTGCCGCCTTTATGTGTAGTGTGCATAATGTGGTTGGCAACTGTCACCCTCATATGTCGGATGTATAATGTGGTTGGCAACTCCGTTATAACTCTCTTAACAAAGGGAGTCATACGTAACGGAATGAGAACCGAAAGAAAAGAGGAAGCATAGACAAAAGTGTACGGAGGCCACCACAGCCGGCTTTTTATGTAAAAAGAAAATCAAGGAGAAAACGAAGGAAAGAAACAAAAAAAAAATTGCAAAAGAAAATGGCGTAAAAAGGGCAAGCCAGCCACATATAGTAGGAATTATTTTGCACAAGAATTTACAAAGGAAAAAAATCTATTTAAATTAGATGCGGCTTAACAAAACAAATCACGATATTAATTCGTTATTAATGCACAATATTTTTTAAAAACATTTAAAGAATTCGTTGCACATTTATTAAATTAAAAAAAAGACAAAAAAAAAACTATTTTCTTTCTGTTAAATATTCGCACTATGTAATCTCCAAGGGGAAAGAGCACAGTAACAAAATTAATCTTTTAATTGTTTGTTGCTTTAATCAGTATTTGTTAAATCGAAATTGCACATTTCTTTTTTGATTGTAATTCAAAAAAATTTTGAAAATTAAATACCGTACCGTGTATTTATTTACTGTTGATGAACTGAAGAACGAACGAACCACAAAGCTTGACAGCTGGACTACGAATGAATTGAAGCAAGCGAATAAGTCAGTTAATTTGTAAATTTGTGACAGTGGCGCAGCCAAGGAAAAAGCAGTAAAGAAAGATATGCGTTTGTGCAAATATGGGTGTGTGCCTGTGTGTGTTATATACACACAGCAACAACAACAGCACATAAATATCCACAAAAAGAGAGTAGGCAGCAGCAGATATTGACATATTTAGAAATAACCACACAAAAACCCACGTTTAAGATACTCTTTCAACACACAATCAAAGAGAGAACTCACTGTTATCTTGGGTTACGGCATATAGCTGGTTCTTTCGCACTCATGGTAATTGCGCTAAGAAACTCTTGCTCTCTCACATTTTGCATTTGCAGAGAAAATACTGGAAAAACGAAATAACAAAACGCAATCGACGTTTTTAACCATTTTTGTGACCATATATGGTCATGTTTTGTGTTCCAACGATTTCACGATATAATGGAAAAACGTTAAATAAGGGGAAAGAGAGAGAGAGCGAATAAGTGTAGATAACAGAAGAGAGTCACACCCAATACCATTTTGGAGATAATGGTTATATTTTTTTGCGTTGAAAATAATTCTTTGAAATTTGTTCTTTTTTTGGAATTGTGACCACACAACCGGCATTCTTATATGATGTGAGAGAGTGTGTGTGTGTGTTGAACAGCTACATAATATTTATATCTCTGCGGAAACAAATATTTTCAGCAACAGAACAAAAAAAAAAACAAAATGAGTCAAGTTCAAGTTGTGGGTTTGCTACTTGCTAAAATGTTTACACCACAGATACAAGAAGTTCTTGAGATATTGGTGTTGATGTGTCAACGCCAAAAAAATAATGAAGTTTTGCATGACGTGTTCAATTCTCAAGTAGTTATTTTTTGAATATTTGGTTTTTTTGTCTAATAAAGTCAATGGAATTGATAAGTTTTTTTTAAATGGTGGGAACCGAGTTTTTTGTTTGTTGTATTTGGGAGGAAGTTATGTATGACAAAAACAAATGGTGAATAGAAAATTTTAAGGTCAAATTCAAATTAAACCGTTAGAATTTTGAAAAAAAATAGAAAAACAATTCTTTAAGATTTTTTTTTTAAATAGCATTTGGAGACCCTTAGAAAATGTTATGAAGATTTTTTTAGGAAAAATATTTAAATGGAGAAATATTTGAATGAGAGCAAGGTTTCTGTTTGTTGTTGGTATTTGAAGTGGTAATATTCTAATAAGATCGTAAACGGAGTAATCCAGTTTAAGGGGAAAATTAAAAAAAAAAAGTTTTGAATTGTTGATGGCAATTGTGGAATGAATATGTTTAAATCAATATTTGGAATTAATATATTTTGAGAAATTTGTTTATAATTATCCTTAAACATGATCCCCGAAAATGTTCAAATTCGAATAATTTTTTTTTAATTGAATAATTTTTAATGGAGAATTAGATTTTTAATACGAGAAAAAATGTTGGTTAAAACATTTTTGGTTTTTTTTTTGGAATTTTGAAATTGATATTTTTAAGAAATGTTAAAATTTTTAATAGAGAAATATATTTTTAAATCGAAAAAAATGATGGTTAAAGACATTTTTGTTTTTTTTGGAATTTTGAGATTGATATTTTGCAGAAAACTTGTTAAAATTTTGTAAATACAAAAATACGGAAATTTTTCACATTTTGAAATGAAAAAAATAGCTTGGAAATGATTGAAAGAATTTTTAAATTAACATTTTTGATATATTTTTGTAGTATTATTTAAGAATATTGGAAAAAAATATTGAAATTTAAAAAAAAAAATTAACTAAATTTTTAGTTTAACTGTAAATAATTTTATATCAGATGAAAAATTATTTTTGTTTCTTTTAATTTGTTTCATATTCTTTGAGGTTAAAACAAAAAAATTAAACTTCAATATTTTTTTTCTTTGAAAAAAAAATCTCATTATACGGAAGAAAGGTTAACGCCCTGAAAATTTGTTTTCTTTCAATAATGTTTTTCCAAAACCAAAATTAAAAAAAAAAAATTTTGTTTTATTTCAAATTTTTTTCTCTTTGAAAAAAATCGCAAAGGGTGGAGGTTAACGCCCTAAAATCCAATTGCGAAAACATTAATTTTCAAAAAGAAAAACAAAAATTAAAAAATGTTCTCCATTTCTTTTAATTTGTTCAAAATATAAAAATTCGTTAAAGAACAATTTTCTCCAATTGTTGAATTTTCAAAATTTCTTTTTATTTTTAACGATCTCTGCAAAACAGAAATTTGTGAAAGTCATGTCTCGTCTTGATATTTCATTCATATCTGCTGCACAAGAAGAAGAAGAAGAAAATGCAGAGAGAAAGTGTGTGAATTTGGCATATCAATGGAGTGTAACGGTTATTTTTTATTAGAGTTTTGAAACCATTTTTTTCAAATTGTTTGGTATTACACACAGACTTTCGCAGAGCAAAATACAAAAAATCTTAACGGTTATGTCTTGAATTTTGATTGGATTCCACACATGTGACCAAATTAAAATTATCTTCACACTTTATTTTTTTGAACTATTATCTTATCAAAATCATTCGTATTTGTTTTCGTTGATTGATGATGAGTATTGAATTTTCAAGATAACAATAATATTATGTAATATTTGTTGGAAAAAAGAATCACTCAAAAATGTTGATAATTTTTTGTTTGAAATTTATGACTTTTTTTTTAATAAATCATATTTTTTATCTGAAGTAATCCACTTGATTTGAAGCTGAGACTGACTGCATTTTCTTTCGAATTTTTCACAAATTGTTTTTGGTGTTTTTTCAAAATTAGTAATTTTTCCGTATTTTTTCAAAATGTTCTTTGAGTCACTGTTTTCATAAAAATTCTTTGCCACTTTTTTTAAATATTTTTTCTTAATGTTCATTGCATTATATTGTCTTTTCTTGTTGTTGTTCATTTTTTTGCACCAAAAAAATACTTACTTTTTTGTTTGTTAAATTACTAAAAATTAAATAAATAAATTAAGTCTTTTTGTTTGTTGGTTTGGGAGGTCTCGCGATGTATCCAACACGCAGCACAAGAACGCAAACTGTAATGATATCAAAAACTCGTTGTGCCGGCGCTTATAAAGGCGTCCACCCCTAATGGCTCCTTGCGCTTTTTTCGTTCTCTATGGATTTTCAGACATTTTACCATATATGGAAATATGCATGCACAATCGTATATTTCCAGAGAATTAATGGCGGTGGACTCTCTTTATCTCTCCAACCACACAACAACAACAATATCACACATTCATAATAAGCCCGCATTTTCAGATACATGCATTTGCCGTTAAGGCACACAGATACTTTGGCTTAACACAAAGTGATAAAGTCACAACTCTCTCAGACACGACTCTTTTGTTGAAACACTCTCTTGCTCTTAATCATGCAACAACAACAAAACAACCATATAGGCGAGTCATCAGACTTAGGGGTTTTGTTTCATTGAATTTGTGTGTGTGCGTGTGTGTATGTGTAGCTGATTGGGTGTTGTTTTTTTTCTCAGTCAGACTGTTGTTGAGCATAAGCCGTAGTTTGTTTTTGGTTTGGTTTTTCTCCCCACCAAAGCGCACACACACACACACGACATGAAACAACAAAATGTGTGTTTATCAACGAGAAGCCCAACGATTGAAACTCTTCGCTGTGGCATTTGTTGTGACTCAGTCGTTTCGTTTTTACTGATAAGATTTGTTGAGGATTTTTTTGGAAGTTAAAAAATAAAAGAAAAAATTTATATTATTTTATATTTAATAATATTTTTGTAAAATTATTGTTTATCAATTAACAAAAAATAAGGGAATTATTAAACCACCATAATCATTGAGTCTCAATAAGTCATTTATTTTCCAAGAAGATTTAAGTTCAATTTTCTTTTAAATTTTTTGTTAAACCAAAAAAAATATTGAACGGAAATTAAGAAAAAAAACATATTGTTTAAAATTGTGGAAGGAAAATATTTTCAAAATATTTAATAATTAAAGGGCACAGCACATAAATAAAACAATAAAAATCATATAAAATTAAATAAAAAAATATATTAAGTTATAAAATCAAGGGAATACAATTAAACAATATATAATAAATGATATAAATAATTTAAAAAAATCTTAAATTATAAAATAAGTAAAAAGGACTGAGAAACAATAACTTGAAAAATATTTTGAAATATGAATCATTAATAATTGAAAAATAAAAATAGTTATTTTATTAAAAAAAAATAATAAATTAAATTAAGAAACATTAAAGGAAAACAAAAAAATATTTAAAAAAAACCAAAATCACAAAATCAAATATCAACAAAATTTAAGTAAAAATTAAACAAAATTAAATACAAATATAAAAAACAAAATTAAATTTATCGGAGAACGGAAACAAATTTTTATTAAAAAAAAAAACAAAATCTTAAAATCAATTATCAACAAAATTTAAGAAAAAAGAAAAAACTTTTATAAAAAATAATTCATATTAATAAAAAAATCATAAAAGAAAAATAATTTAATTTTTATTTTCTTTCCTTTTATGATTTTGAATTAATAAAAATTATAATAACACATTTTTCTTATTTGGAGGTTATAAAAACAATAATATTTTGAAAAAACACCCTAACAAAAATATGAAAATAAATGAGTAAAATTAATAAAAAAAATAACTTTGAAAATAATTTTGGAAAAAAATATAAAATAATTACTTTTTTAACTAAAACAAAATATAAATAAAAAAAATCCACAGTAATAAAAATATTCAAAAAAAATAGTTAAAAAAACCAACAAGTATATAAAAATAAATAAGTAAAATTAAAAAAAATAAAAAACTAAAAATAATTTTGAAAAAAATATAAATAAAAAATCCACAGTAAATATTCAAAATTTTGAATAACAAAAATTGGAATTAAAAAAAATAAATTCGTCAAAATTGCATTTTTTTAGTAACCAAATTTTAATAAAAAAATTATAAATATTGTGTGCAATAATTATTTTTTAATTAAAATTTGGTTAATAACAACATGTAATTTTGTATTTTGATTTTTTTAAGTTTTGTTAATATTTTTCAGTTTTTAATATTCAATTTGTATATCCTACACAACTATGTTGGCAGGGTATTATAGTTTTGTGCTGCCCCAAGTGTTTGTAACGCCGCGAAATATTGGTCCGAGACCCATCTTTAAGTATACCCTTCGTCATATCTCGACTAGCTGAGTCGATCTAGACATGTGTGTCCGCCCGTCCGTCCGTCCATTACAATTTGTAAACACGATACAGGCCACTGTTATGGACCAATCATCACGAAATGTTCCATGAGCTTCCAGTTATGTATGTCAGTTTAAGGAAGAGGTGCTGAGGTGATTACTAATCGGTCAATAGGGTGCAAATATCACGAAATATTGCCCAGGCTAGAAATAAACATCCGCAGAAAGTAAGAGTTCCGTGGTAGTTGTGTAGGGTGTCGTATGATCGGCTCCGTCCGACAATACAGCTCCGCTCACTGGTTTTTTAATTAAAATTTGGTTCATAAGAAAATTTAATTTTGTATTGATTTTTTAATTTTTGTTATTTTTTTAGTTTTTATTATTCCGATGTTTTTAATTTTTTTCTCATCATTTTTTTTTTTTTTTAATTTTTATTATTCAGATTTTTTATTTTTTTTTTTTTCTTATTTAAATCTATTTCAAATTATTAATATTTTTTTAATTTTAATTAAAATTTGGTTGATAAGAAAATTTAATTTTGTATTGTGATTTTTTAAGTTTTGTTATTTTTTAGTTTTTATTATTCCGATTTTTTTTATTTTTTTCGATTCCAATTTTTTTTATTTTCTTCTTATTTATTATTATTTAATTAATATGTTTAATTTTAAATATATTTTAATTTAATAATTTCAAGTGAAGCCAGAGAAAATTACATTTATTTCGGAATGTCACCCACCATCCGCATCGATGACATTACAAAATTATAAAATTTTTTATAAAATAAATAAAATGAAGAAATTAAAAAACAAATAAAAATGTGTTGATTTTTTCAAATTCGGGTTGGGAATGTAGAGATTTTTTAAACAAAATTTATTTAGTTTTAAATTCAAATGTAGGGGATTGCAAGAAATATTAATATAACTTTTAATTTATGAATTATTTTCCTATCTTTCAAAATATCCATTCCATTGTTTTCAATATTTGAAACATTATTTTAATTATTTCTTTAAGGTCATAAAATGTAAATAAGGCAAACATTTTCAAATCATTACCATTTCATTTACCTAAGGAAATTTATGAAATATTTTCCTATTTTTTTCTAATTATAAAATATTTTTTTTTATTTTAATGTTTTAATCATTCATGTATTTTATTAAAAATTTAGATTTTCCATTTTTTTAATGTTCTATTAATTTCGTCTAATATTTTTTTTCTAACACCAACAACAAAAATCTAGCCATAATAGTCATCATTTCCGAAGAATCAACAGTACTTAGTTCCTAAATTAGAATTTATTTCCGATAAGACCGCACTTATCTCGCTCTCTCTCTCTGACTCTCTTAGTCCAACAACACAGTAATATGGCGGCATTCAAACTATAATTAATCATCGATCGTATATAATTTCTCCATATAATAAGAAAAGGAAAACGAAAATAAATTGAAGAAACATAATGTAGATATCCTTATAAGAACATTTCCTTTATGTGAAACATAAATAACAACAACAACAAAAAACCAGACTTTAAAATACATAACAAAACCAAGAAAAAAATGTATTTTCTCCTACCATACACAACAAATTGCACAAAATACAAACACATATGTATATAAGAGCAACACATAAAGTGGCCCACACACGTCAAACATGTGCGTTCGATCGGTGTGAATCGAAGCAATGTTTGACGTGTGTGGTACGGTGTTCACACCGATTTGCCGGTGCGCACACCGATCGAAAGAAATTAAAAATTTTTAATTTTTCGTTGTGCGACGCGCACATGTTTGACGTCTGTGGCCTGGTGTGTGGATATTTTCTCATTTGTTGAGAAATTTCGTGGAGTGCGGATCAGCGGACAAATGCAATACATATGTATTTGGAAGATTTTTTGATATTTGTACACATATTCTACTGTGTGCCAAATAAAAATGTTTTTTCCCGGAATAAAGTAAAAGTATTTAATACATTTATATTAAATAAAAATATTTCATCTTTTTTCCGTCATCACTATCGCGGTCCATCTTCACGCTTCAAAAATAAATATGAAATGAAGTTTAATGGATCCGTTTGACGTGTGTGGGCTAGGAGCTTCACACCGATCGAACGCACATGTTTGAGGTGTGTGGCCTACTTAAGCAACAACAAAAAAGATCCAACAAACAGCTGAGAAGAAATGCCATACAATTCCAGCTGAATTTTTTCAATGTTCTCTTTTTTATGTTGGCCAAAAATAGTTGGGCATTTTTTATTCATTTACATATGTTTTCTTCTTTTTTCCTATGAAAAATAAACGCAAGCTTAGAAAAAGTCTATTTTAAGCTATTCCCACCATAATGAAGATGATACCCTTTATCTAACAGAGTAATAGGGGAAAGGGAGTGAAAGAGAGTCGTTTACACTACTCTTTGTGTGTGTATGTGGAGAGTTGATTCAAGTGCAAACATAAGCCGGTTTTTGTCGTCATCATATCAACGACAAGACAGTAGAGCAGGAACGGGCAGAGCATAAAAAATTCTGTTCTCACGCACTTTTCTTTGTGTGTGTGTCAATGGTTTTTCAATTGGTTCAGTTGAATGTGTGTGAGAGAATAGCGATACTTACTCTCGCGAGAGTGCACGCGTGCGGTGCTTCGCCCGACTGTGCAGTAGAGTGCATGTCTCAGCGTTTGGAGAGATAAACTGAGCTGCTCTCCGTTAGTTTATTTTAATTAGGGAGGGGTTGTGTGCGAGAGAACAAACCCAATAAAGGAGAACACAAACAACTATGGTATGTACACAGAGATGATGAGAATGGTTGGTGACGTTGTTGGACGAAATAAAAAGCCGGCTTTGTACTTAATTAAGGCATATGATGTACAAAATGTACAAAAAGAAAAAAAAGACAAATAAAACAACA